GTTGCTAACTGAACCTCCCGAAGGGTCGACCACAGTGTTGACTCGCATAAAGTCAAGCGGCGAAGGAAGTTCAATCCGATTCTTACCTTGGGTTTGAGGCTAGGGTTTTAGGGCATCCTCCTCCCCAGTCGTTGCCGCACCTGTTGCAACAATGGGTGGCTGGCCACCCTTCGATGCTGTAGAGGAATCCGATGCATTCTTTGACCGCTCTGAGTTTTCACTCAAAGTCTTCATGGCTGCAGGAGTTTTGCCCCCGGCCGTAAGAAGATCCAGGTTTGTAGAAGAGGTTAATTGGGAAGGATTGTTCCTGGAAGCCTTAGCACCGGGAGTCTTTTCCAACTCATCCCCTGGTCTTTTGATAAGTTTTAAAATTGAGCGGGGCATAGTTTTACTAGTACCTTGCAGAGAAAGGAGTCAATAAGATTTCAGCCGGCAAAATGCTAGAGAAAAGGTAAAGTAAAAGCAAATCAGGCGGACTTACCCGCCCTTTTTGGCCTCCTTGGCCTCAGCAACAGTCTTCTTGGCTTGTAGCTGCTCTTTATGCAGCAATGCAGCAGACATAGCCGGTGTCCTTTCCGAGTCCACCATTTTCCGCGCTTCTTCTACAAGGAGCAAACAAATAGTTAGATAAATCAATTAAAAGAATTGAATTAAATATACAGAGACGGCAATTCGCCGGATTTATAGTGGGTCTACCCTTGGTGAACATTGTGCTAAGTCCGCATGTGGACAAGAATGCCTCATCCTTGAAAAAATCCGGATGGAAGATCCAGTTCTTTGGCATGACTATATGAGTCCCATCCCCTAAGGGCTTAGTCTTGGTCTCAAAAAATCTCGGCTCCATTATTGTACCAGCGTAGGGTCCGGGTTTGACTCAGTCTTGGTGAGGAGATCAGATAAAACTTCTCTTTCCAGCTGGTCCATTTGGACACTTTGTCCAAGGACATCAGATATTGGGGAATTGTGGTAAGTGTATGCCACGCCCCATGACCGCCTTGGCCCTTGCTCATGTAATGCTTGTGAGAAAAGGTGGAAAAATTAGGCTCTAAATTCTGAAACTCGCAGGCGGCGGTGTAGCTCAAGATGTTGACCCAAGAGTTTGGGGTATGCTGCCAAACGCTTACATCATACCCCTTGAGAAATTTCCTAATTCCTCTATAAAGAGGGAAGCGGATGCCGGCTGCAATTACCGCCTCGTAGCAGACGAAGTAATTGTCGGCATTCTCTATTCCATCAACCTAGGCCATTACCGCATCCCCATGCGGGACCTCAATAATCCACCCCTTTCAAAAGGGGTGCTTCTCTTTAAAATACTCAAAGCCACTATGTAACAGGGCGATGTCACCCGGCAGCATACTAGTCTTTTTGGGGTCTAGGAACGTTGAAGCTTTAGCCGGCTGCTGGTAGTCAGCCGCAAAATCGTGTAAATCAGAGCCAGATGTTTCTTCCCTCGATCTTTCGATGGCCTTGTTGCCGCCTGACTCCTCCCCTGATCCATGAGAGGAGGCGGCCTCTTCACCGCCTACCTCCCTCACGCTTGAACTATCATCAGAACCACTCCTCTTCTCCGATTCCTCTTGTTCCCCATCAGAAACAAGCTCATCCGCGGGCACTTCCCTAGCGCGTCGGCTTCTTGGCTTCATAGCCGTTTGTTTAACTCTAGCCATTATGTCCTGCACAGAAACAGAGAGGGAGGAATTTGGGGATGAGCACAATAGTTCTGACAGTCCAGAAAAGGAACCCCATGTTCTTGATTCAGCCGTATCGGGAAATCCGCTGAATGTCCTAGGTAGTGCCGAGTGTGTGGATTGAGAGTCTGTTTTTATTTTTTAAGAATATGTATACAGACGAAACAAGAATGTATATAGATGAAAAAGAAGAAAAAAGTTGAAAGAGGGTACAGGCGGTTACCTTACTTTGATTCTGAATTTTCTAAAAACTACAACAGACGATGACCGGGTGTTGTAAGTGAGCACGCGGAAATCTTGAAAAATCTAATGCAGACGGGATCAGAGAATCTCTCACTAGAATCTCACTTTCTCTCTTTAGAAAATTTCTCAAGTATTTTTAAATGATGGGGAGAGAAGGGGGGTAAAACCCTTTTTATAGAGGGGTAAAACGGGGGCATCCCCGTCACACCCCAGAAGGTGAATAGTCGTTAAACTATTCATCATTCACAGGGGGACGCGTCTCACAGGCGTCACATGGCCTGCCACATCACCCTTGTGAGGGGCAAATGTTTAGGGTAAAAATACCCTAGACGCGTGGACCAATGAGAGAGGCCCACGTGTCAAGCTCTAGCAGGCCACCATAGGCCACTCACTACCTGACATGTGGCAACCTTAGAGAAGAATTACGATTGCGGCCTTCAAAGGCCCAATTCCTAAGGAATCAGCTTTTTGCGGCGCAACCCATAAAACCTAGGTCACAGTGACCTAGGGAAGGGCACTTTCCCCAATGATCTTATAAATAGGGAGATATTCCCCCAAAATTGAAAACACATACAATCACTTATTACATCCATTTTCTCTCTCATCAGAGAAAACCTGATCTCGGAATCCGAGAAGATCCCACTTAAATTTCCACACTTTTTCCTTTCATTCATGTTCTAACTTGATCGTCGGAGGCGAAGCTCCTACCACCCAAAGTCTCCGTTGTTTTTGCAGGTACAACTCAGCCGGACCAATCTTTGTGCCGTAACTCTCACGAGAGACAAAAACACCCAAAACAACTACCATTGGCGCCACCTTCTTCTCCACCATGCAACAACTCTTCAGCTTTCTCAAATGCTTTGTCCTTAGCTTTCTCAACCTCAAGGCTTTCAATCTCCTTTTTAAGCATTTCTTCTGAGGGTTTGTCATCTAATGCCTCTGACCCGAAGGCAACACCCGTGTTTGGAACATCAATTGATGATGTTAACCGGGAAATGACATATTCAATGCTTGCCAGATTTGTTTCTCCCTCCTCCATTAATAAAACCTCAAGGAGTTTCCGTTCTTGCTTCTTGTCATCCTTCTTCCCCTTCTGTTTTTTCCTTAAGGATTTCTCCTCGGTTTCCCTAGTGTTTTTCTCCTTCATACTCTTTGATTTTTTCTTTGTTTGTTCTTCGTCAACTCCAACCCCAACTCCACCGTCTTCATGCAGTGTCCTCTTTCTCACCTTCCCTCTTGCTTCATCCACTTTTTCTTGAACTTCCTTAACATTTTTCTTCTTCCTTCCTTTCGACACAATCTTCTTTTTTTCAGCCTCCTCTTCAACCTCGTCTTCTTCACTTTCTTCATCTTCCGCCTTCATGGCCTTCTTCCCCTTGCCTTTTTTTTATTTTTTTTTCTTCCTCACTTTCATCATCATCAGCAAAATCATCCGCACCGGCATCATCCTCATCTTCATAATCACTTTCACTTTCCCTTTCCGCTTTTTTTCCTTTCTCCCTACCTTTCTTTTTCAACTTCTGTTCCTCAATAGTTTCTTCACTTGCCTCGTACAAATCTGCTACATAACTCCCCAACAACCTCCACATTTGATTCGTGCTTAACCCAATCTATCAATATTATCCTAAATTAAGTGAAAACCCTTCTTGACGATCTCTTGAAATTGTGGTGGAGCCTTTCCAACAATTTGTGCTTTTTCCCTGTCGATCACCCCCCTTAACTGCATTGCACACAAAAATTAGTGTACATTATAAACAAACATAATATAAACAAACATGTTATAAAAAACATATTAGCACTTACTTTACTTGTCTTGTAGCCATCCTTCAAACCGCTGATTAAGTCATGCAATTCTTCATGTTCTCATCACTTCAGTCCCTAATCCGAGGTAAATCATACTTCCAAATGTTATACATTCCATCTCTAGGGGAAAACTCACAAAATATCGCCTACATCAAGAATAACAACCAAACTTTGGTTTTAGGTTTACACAAGAGATCTCTTGAAATGCAGTACATAGGTAATCACCAAAACATATTATGGCACTACATGATATCAGAGAGTACATGCTATACTAGGATTTAAAATAATTATGTTAATGGTAATCAATAAAGTCATCAAGTGTCATTAACTAAAATTGTGAATACACTTTGGTAATCATCAACTACAACATAAGTGTGTACACAACAAACATTTTATACATTGCACAAGTAATCCTCAAAAACAAATTAAGTCAATACATGCACATAGAGAATCCATGATAGAGTAAGATTTACAAACATTGTGTTACTGGTAATCAAATAAATGTATCATTTGTCATTACATAAAACATAAAATACATTACTCTAAAGCTTAATATTTACTTTGGAAACAACAACTACAACATCGGTGTGTAAACAAAGAATATATTATGCAGGGCATAGGTAATCACCAAATATATATTATGTCAATACATTTATACAAATATTACATGATATAGTACGATTTATAGCAAAATATGTTTTAAGTAATCAATAGATTTATCATTTGTCTTTACCTAACATATAAAATACAAGACAATACACCTATATTTACTACTGTAATCTTTAACTGCAACATTTGACAAAACTTAACTACACATTTGGTGCGAAACAGAACAATTTTTTTTTAAGTTGTCAAAAGTATGATAAATATAAATTTTAAAAATTAAAAGTAGTTTACCATCAAGAGCAAGGAACAACCTCCCAAATGTATAGGTTTCTCCTCGGACTTGAAATTAGCTACAACATCAACCAAACTATCTAGCACAAATTTTGTGAAATTCCAATGCTGTATATAATCAACTTTGACAACAAGATGAAGCCATCCCATCTTTGGCTTTTCCTCAATGCTTGGGTATATTAGTGAAGTTATGACAAAAACAGCAAACATACGTTCAAATTATGGATCGTCATACACAATTCTCCTTAGTTCGGATGACATGCCTTGGACATTCAGTTTTGTAAACCTCAATAGTTTTTCATTAATGGCATTCTCATTAGTTAACTCCGCACTATCAATCTCAAATCCATGATCTTTAAATCCCAACAATTACTCAACATGGGTGTTTGTGATCTGTATTTTATCCCCATAAACACCTGATGTTCTTGTTGACAGATCAAAGTGGACTATAACCCGCTTGACCATAGTCTTTCTCGTTTTCTTAGTGTTGTAGTGTAACAGAAACCCAAAACCCAAAGCCTCTACTTTATCCTTTTTCTCTCTTGGAAAACCTTTTACTAATGACATAAATTCTTCTAGTTGACACAATGTTACAAGGTACCTACATACAGATAACTTTAACACTTTTAACTTTTAAATTACTGAACATTATAAAAATAACAACATGAAACCAAATGTATATAAATTTATACCGTCGTTGTTGTGGAAACTCGTGTAGGGAATGTCCTCAAGGTTTTTTCTGCAGGTGCAGATGCACTACTAGGTCCTGACTTATTTTTCCTTGTAGACATGTTTGCTTTAACCAATGTTAAACAAACAAAATCATCCCTATTATTGAAGGCGTCGTTCGAAGTGCGCCTACGTTAAGCATGTTGTGAATATGCTTGGAACTCCTAGGAAGTGGGAATTGACATAATACAATTAGGGACAAATAAAGTAGGGAGCCGCCAACAAGTTTTTAAGGAACTTGTAAACCGTTCACGGATCATAAAAGGAAACCACGATAAAGGGACAACGAAGGCAACAACGATTGACCCGTGAAGGTTACACCCCATTCATAATCCATGAGAATACTAACTCCATATGGTTCGAAACCACGAAAGGAGGATCGGGGATGATGGTACGAAGTGAGTCATGGAGTCACATTCTCTCGTATTGGCCTCTACTTGATTCTTATAGTGAAAAGTGATTCCTGCGATCTCAAAGGCATGCAAACAAAGATTCAATTTGCTACAAACTATTATTATACTAAATAGGTTGAATATTAATGCAACACATAATTCTAATATTGGTGATCACTTGATTTAACAAGATTAAAAAGGAACCTAAACCGGTTGTCCAAATTATCTTATTAGGCGTGAATTTCAATTACATATTCCCTTTAAACATGCAATATGGTGATCAATAAATAATAATAGAATAAACATTAATATTGGAAGCAATTTAACAACAAATCCAACACTATAAAATCATTAGAAAAATAATAGAAATAAAAGGAACATAATTCTTACTTTGATTCTGTTTGCTTGAAACTATAAAATAATAAACGAGTTAGTAACTTGAAGGAAGAATAATAAAACAATAATTAAATTAAATTAAATAGAGTTGATTTTGGGGCCAAACCCTCAAACAGGTCTACCTTTCACGCCTTGACTTATAAACAAAACCACGAGTATAGTATGGACTCCTTGGAGTGCTTGAAGAGGGAATTTTGAAAGAAGAAGGGTAGGCTAGTGTTTAGGCTAGAGCATAGAGGATAGAAAAATAGAGAATTAATTGATTCCCCGTACATCAGAAATGAGGGGGTATTTATAGAAAAAATGTGCTGAGGGAATACATAGAACCCTAAAAAGATTAAAAAAAAACCCTAAAAATTGCACCGCGACACGACAAAGGGCACCGTGACATGGTGCCTGGCACCGTCAGACAGAAAAAAAATCACATGACACTGTGGACAGCTATGTGACGCGGGAAATATTTAGGGTACGGGGAATAAAACGCGTGAAGGTTTTACACGGAAAGGTTACGGAATTGCCCCGTGTCACAGCAGGGGCACCGTGTCACGAAGAATCCCACCGTCAAACGAGGCAAATTTCCGTGACACGATGGACAATTGCCGTGACGCAGGAGCCTTTAGTCCGTTTTTCCATCTACATTCATTTTTAACACTAATTTCGTTTAGCATTTTTAAGTGCCGATTGATAATTTCGAGCCATTTTTGATTTATTATTATTTGGGCCAAAATAAATAAATAAATAAATAAAAGGTTTGGGCCAAAATAAATAATAAAATAAATATAAGGTTTGGGCTAAAATTAAAAATGAACTATGCTTTGACTAAACATCAAGACTGATCCATGGACTATTCAAAAAATTAAATTTAAGTAAATATGATTTTTTAAGCACTCTCGGGATTAAATACTGAACCCGACCAATAAAGGCGATGAAAGGTTATTCATCATCGGGTTTGGTTTTTGGGAGACATTTTTAGATGTCTACAATTATCTAATTAGCATACAAATGAATGTTACACTTTTTCACAAAATCATTCACTATTATCTAATTAGCATACAAACAGAGTGAAGAACTACACAATTAACTACCATATCACACTTATAACCAATAGTTGTGAAAATGACCAATTGCATGTAAATTTAAATCTTCACAAACGCACATATAACCAACTGTATTCATGATTTAACAAAAAAAAAAAAAAACTAAAAAAGAATGAAATAAATAAACAGAACAACCCAAAAAAAACCCAAAAGAACCAATAATCAAACATCATCTAACCCAATTAAAGAGGCTCTAATTACATTATTTCTACAGAAAAACAAAACAAGTGCATTGTAAATTATGCTAGTTTGCAAATTATATATAAACAAAAAAATAGAACAACACCACAAAAAAAATCCAAATGAAATGATAATCAAACATCCTACAACCCAATTAAAGAGGCGGTAATTAAATTGGTTCTACAACAAAACAAAACAGTGTATTTTAAATTATTCTAGTTTTCAAATTTTATATTTATACAAACAAAACAAAAATAAAAATAAAACAAAACAAAAATTATAGACACAAAATACAAAAATATTTTATAAAAATTAGAGTAAAATTAGTCACTGTGACTTACAATGCAAACGAGTGTAGTTCCTTAGTTACTCTTGCCGTCGCAATCGCTGCCTTCTTCACTATTTTTAGCCTTGTAGTGTGATGTAGTTTGTTTTTAGAGGTAAAGCTAGAGAGATAAAGATATTAATGGAGAGAGATAAACTAGAGTGAATAGTGACCGACCTGTTTACTCGAATAAATGGTTGTTTCACAAAAGGAAAAAAGTTTGAAAAGTGACGGTTGCAATTGAGTTTGTTTTAAATTTTATTTTTTTATTATTTATTTTTTTACTTTTGGCAACTACATGCACGCAAAATCCGGAATACCCTTTTGTATATTTTTACACTTCAATCTTTTTTTTTTGTCTTTTTTTTATTTATTTATCTATTTTTTTGGCAAAGATTTAGTTGTAATTTTAATTTTTTGGAAACATTAACAACATATAAATATTCTTTAATATTTTTATTTCAAATATTAAGTAATTATTCAATTTTAGATAATACTATTCCTAAAAAAAAATTCATATAACACTTTTTTTTTTATTTTTCTATAAATAATTTCATATAATACTTAATTTTAACTAAACCTGTGCTTTGCTAAAAAAAAATAAAAAAAACAAAGGGAAAATTTACAGTGGAAAACACAGATAATACAACAGCCATATTGTAGGAAATATTTCAAGCGCTAATCCCCTAGCTTGAACCCCACTGTGATCATACACTAAAGTAAGTTGGCGTCCGAAGGGAAAGAAGATAGAGCAAAAGAGTCGCCAACAAGCTTTTTAGGAACTTGTAAACCGTTCACAGGGTGAAGGTTACACCCCTTAACGATCCAAGAGATCGTCAACTCCATAAGGTCTTGAACCAAATAGGGTTTGGGGATGAAGGTACAAATCCAACCTAAAAGAGATTGAATGTTGGTTTACCCTATACATGTTTATCTATGTTGGTTGAATATTAATGCACAAATAAAACTATTATTGGCGATCACATGAATTAAAATCAAATTAACCCTAAACAAGAATATTAATCATCTTATTAAGCGTAATTACAGGTACCGAATTCCCTTTAAACATGCATAAAAGGCGTGATCAAGCAATAACAATAAATATCATCAACATCATAATAAATAATTATAATAAAATTATAATCATAAATCATAATCATAAAATAATAATAAAAATAATCATAATTAAAATAATCATCATAAATTATAACAATTATAATCATAATTAAAATAATAAAATTAATCATAATTAACATAATCATGTTAAATCATAATAATAATAGCAAGATCCTAGGCATGATACTAACAAGATTAATAACAAACCCTAGCATGACTAAACATTAAAAATCAAATCATTAACCCTAACATGATACTAACAATCATAAATATTAGTAAGAACATAAAAGGCATCATATTTTTAATCATACTTGATATTAAAGTTACCCTAGACATGATACTAGGAATCAAAATAATAACCTAAGCATGATCTCTACATCATAATATCAATAAAAACCATTAAATTACTTACTTTGATGCCTCGTACCTCTCTCTAATAACAAAACACACATGTTAGTAACTTCAAGGAAAATAATAAAAACAAACAATTAAATTAAATAATTGAAAGAGAGATTTGGGACTAAACTCTCAGAAATTAAACCTTTCACGTCTAGGGCAAAGGCAACTTCGAATATGGCTAGGTGTTTCTAGATCTAATGAATGAGGAATTTTATATTGTAAAAGGCTAGTTTAGAAAATAGAGAGAATGAATTGATAGATTGTTGATGAAAAACTGATAGGTTGTAGATGAATCCTGGTTGTTTATGAGAATTGGTGAATGAAAACGGAGTTTTTATGACGTTATTTATAAAGAAAATCAGCCAAAAAGATAAAATATTAAAACAGATTTCTGGCGCACACAAAACCTGACTAGCCCCAACGCTAGCTATTGGCGCTAGACGCCACCATTAGCGTCAAGCGCCAATGCTAGCGCCAGGCGCCAAGCGTAGCCCCAGACGCTATAGCTGGCGTTTGGCGCTGATCCGGAAATTCACGCGTTTTCTTAAAATAAGATAGAAATTTCTGTACAGGAGGATAAAATCGTATCTTTTTTCAAAAAAAAATGTTCTAACTCTGAAAAGTCAACAAAAGTCAATTTATCAATACTAATTAAATTAGGAATGAGAAGAACCTTCTAGAAGAATCTAGAAGACTAAAACCATACCTAATTGCATTAGGAATGATAAATCTATATTAGGCCCTCCCCTAGATCATGAAGCCGCATATAAGGCTCAAACCGGGCCCAGTTCAGTAATTTGGCCATAATTTCCTCAATATTCATCGGAATTGAGCTTATAATATATCGTTGGAAAGTTGTTTTCAAGCCCCATATATTTACACTAATATTGGACCCATATCATGGACCAACCAAATTGGATTGGTTGTTTTCTTAAAATAAGTTTTCAAAAACAGAGAGAAGAGAAAA